AGTTACATAATTTTTTCAATCAATCTAGCCAAACTTCCTCAATTCGAAAATCTATTATAATTTATCCGACGTGCTCGTAAGTAAAAGAAGTTTAAATATTTTACAATGGAGGAGATAGGGGTCATTATCTTCAAATGGCTTATGACTACCTTTACCTTTTGACAGTTCAACCTAAAAGTGTTGAGGCCGAAAGATGTTTTTATCTGAAGGTTTTGTATGTAACAAGTTTAGGTCAAGACTAGAAGACTCCGGGATAAATCCCGGGATTACTTAAAAATATATCGAAATCCCGGGATCACAATTTTACGCATATTTTGGCATCCCTAGTATATACGTATGTACATGGGGCGTTCCATATCAAAATGGGCGGGGTTCACACTTCATGTGTTTGATTTGTTTCAAAGTTTTAGGGTTGATAACACATCAAAATTTTCTATGAAAATAAATATTTTTTAATTTTTTTTCTTGCAAAATTTTTCAAATACAATTTTTTTGATGAAAAATATTAGTTTTTTTTTGTAAAATATACAAATTCAAAAAATGGTAAAAAAAATCACATTGATAGCTCTGAGTATTGCGCAATATTTAAGTATAGTATTAGTACAATAATTTGAGTTATGATTTTTTTTTACACCGAAGTTGAGTAAAATGAGTACATTACGAATTTAAAAATTAAAAATTTTTTTTTTTAGTATCCAGTTTTGTAGCCCATTAAGTTTAAGTAAAGTGGAAATTTTAAGCTACTGAAAAATTGCGTTGAGTTTTAATATTTTTTCTGCTGACGGCTTTTTGCACTTTTTTCTTATGGAAGAAAATGCGTAAAACCGTTTTCAAAGAAAATTAAAAAAAAATTAAGGCCAGTTTTGCAATCGCTTAAAACTTGCACTTTATTATACTAAAATTTATTGGGCTACAGAACTTCATACACAAAAAAATTCTAAACAAAATTCAAAAAATTTGTAAATGTAAAAAAAATTCATAACTCAAATTATTGTAGAGTGAACCCCATAATACTATACTTAAATATTGCGCAATACTCAGATTTTTTCAATCTTTTTGTGAGATGGCGTATTTCCAAAAAAATAATTTTTTTTACCAAAAAATTTGAATGTGAAAAATTGTTCAAGAAAAAAATATTTTAAATATTTGTTTTCATAGAGAGTTTTGATGTGTGTATGTGTTTAATTTTTTCCTTGTCCCGTTCTCGAGATATTTGGAAAACTATCAAATCGATTTGTTTTTGTTTTTGTGCTGTAAAGTTTTTAAAAATGTATTAATGAAGCTTAAATTTCATATTTATTTATTATTTATGCTTATCCATCAACCCTAAAAATTTGAAACAAATGAAACCCATAAAGTGTGCAGCCCGTCCACTTTGGTATGGAACGCCCCACATATACTTTTAATAATATTTTATGGAAAGTTTCAAAATCCTTCAGATTTTCCACAAAAGGCATGAATGTCCGATGATTATTAGTATTTAAAAATATACAAACATATGTACATATTTAAATAATTGTGAATTTTTTATGTATGGTGCGCTCTATATTTCTTGAATAAAAAGCGAAAAAAACCAACATGACATAAATAGTCATAAAAATGATCTGCGATCACCTCTGATCACCTTTGAACAATCGTGGGTAGTTAAATTGAGGCGCAAGCGCTACTTTCAAATTGAAATTCAATTCATTTTCATTTTACACTCTTTTCTCCTCTATTGTTTCGTTTCTTTGATTTTATACGTAAATGATTGTGGCGTATTTTTTATGCGTGATCAATCAAAAATAATAAATCTCAACAAGCATTCAAATGGTTCATGAGTACCAAAATTGTAAAGTGTTGAAGCACCCAACTTACCAAACCACAGAAAAAAATTAATAGGTTACGCTTTTATGGCTTTCTTGTTGCTTTTTTGCGTTTTAATTATAATAAGATTTTTAAGTATGTCTATACGCATCTACATACATATGTATCTAACTACCATCTTCCTTGTTTTTTTTTTTTTGTAAACCACAATTATTTCTTTTCCATTCGTTCTTCTTTACTCGTGCGTTAGAAGTCTGCTTAACATTTTCTTAAGTGATGCACACTCAGGGGTCAACGTAACGGTAATCAAAATTCTAATTATTTAATAGTGGGTTTCAACTTCTTAAAATAAGTATTTATGATTATAAAAAATGTCAAAAATTGCTCCCTAAACCTCCTCATTTCAACGCTTGAATTGAAAGTGTGGTAAATTTTGTCTATCGTCGCGTATCCACTTTGAAAACCTGACGCTTTATTGTCAGTTCCATGAGTCGTGGATGCTTTTTTAGCCAGTGCCATGTATAATTAATGGTGATCTTGCCAGCTTAGGCCACTATTGTTTTATTTGGTTGCCATTACGAACGCTTACTGCTAAGCCAAAGTGAAAAACCCTGTGCGTCGCAGTCCGTGTTGGTTGAAAAGAGTGACAGTGTTGGAATGATTTACTCACATCGTTCAGTCGGAGAATGTCCTGTCAAAACACACACCAAATAAAAAAGTTGTGACTTTGTCAGCCTAAAGAGATCTCTTTAGCATCTACGGACCACCCCACGGCCAGAATGACGTTGCTGTGGCACACGTGGTAGTTTTCGTCCAGCCTTCGCTGAGCTGATATGTAGCGCAGCCGTGCAAGTGTAGGCAAATCCGAAATTCACTTTTTAATTTATTATGATGCATTTCATCGAACTATAAGTCCCCACAACGTTTAATGCAATTTTAGTTAGTTAAGGCGTTTTTTTTTCAATTTAGCGAGGATGTGAGATAGTGCTTTCTATATTAATATTAGACGTTGCCGAGACCGACATTTTCCAACTGCTTTGCCGTTTGGCTATCGGAGTGTCTGTATATTTAATGGATGTATTAATTCATCAGAGCTCGAAGTCATAGAACCTTTAGTATTATATAGATCCTCGTCCTCTAGCTGTATGCCCTGCTAACTGTAATGCATCTAACAGAGCGCAGTAACTTTTCTAATCTGAACAAACCTCAGTTTTCTGGCTTTATAGGGGCTATGTGGGTTGCTATCCAATACATTTCGTTATATTTTTATCCTTTGTGGGGTTGTAAAATCAATTATACATATAAGGAGAACCTATGATTTCAAAAAGGAAGGGAATATATTTTGTCGAAGAATTTTTTTCTGTTATAGCCATACAGCAGTTTGTAGGTTTGGGTTGTAACCAAAACCTTCGAGAAATGGTGCCAGTTATTTAACCAAAAAACAGATACGTGTCCTTCCCCACTCAATATTTCCATTTTGTTCGTGGTTGCCCTAACATACGTTGTTCTGCCATCCGTACGTGTTCAAAGAATCTTTGTAGCTTCATCGTTGCAGTTGTATGCGCTTTCCTCTTTACAAGTCATTATAAAGTTCATAGAGTTCATCATTACGTCTTCTTTGGTACTCGGCGCCTACGTGAAGAGGGCCATATAGCTTGCGAAGAGTAGATACTTTTCTCAGAAATCAATAAAATCTTCTCATCTCTGTTTCACAAAGTTCACTATTCTGCAGTAATAAAACAGATTAAAGAATTCGCACTTAAGTAAATCTGCTTTGTACTAGCAAATGTTTTGGGAGACGACATGAAGACACCCATTCTAAACAAGCAGCGAACATACCCACTTTAAATTATTTCTTTATTTATTTATTGGGTCTACAGAAAAATGTTTTCTTACAGAAAAATGAGAATAGAACATTTAGATACATAGTAAATTTTTGAGACATCCAAGTGTTGAGGGTTTGAAGCGCGCCGAGCAGTAAAAAATTTCCCACTGCGTACTGCAATCGATGTATAGCTAAGCCGAATAAGGCACTGCTGATGGCCATTTCGAATATGGTTTTTTACAACCTTGAGCCATCGGCCTGCACTTTAAATACAAAAAAGCAGGGACCGGGAACGCATTCCGGTTTTAGTTTAGTTCTACATGAGATCAAAATGTAATTTCATGAGCATTCTCACAAAAGAATCAAAGGGGAAGTTAGAACGGGAACAAAATCAAAACAAAAGGTAGGGGAAAGTTTCCGTAAAGAACGAAATGCGAACAAAACTCTCGGGAACTTTCTCAAGAAGAACAGAAGCAGAACGAATTTTTCGGGAACTTTTTCAATAAAAATAAAATGAGAATGAAAGTATCGAGAACGTTTTCAAGGAAAATCAAATAATAACAAAAGTCTGGGGGACATTTTGCTAGAGAACAAAATGAGAACAAGAGTTTTGAGAACTTAAAGTTAAGAATGAGAGGGACATCCTCGTGTTGGGATGAAAAATCGTTTCAGTGACAACCATGACTGTTAATGCTAAACCAAAAGAAAGCTGGATCATTTTGTCTTCCAGATCGTTTATCATTAGGGTGAACTATTCATTTTTGAAACAATTTACCATATTCTGTGCAAGAAGAGTTCGTGTCTTAAGTCTTTCGTTTATCATACGGGAGAACTGTCCATTTTTGGAACAATTTTAATTTTTCTGTGCTAGGAAAGTTCGTTTCTTAAGTCTTTCTTTGACTTAATTTTTTGATTAATTTTATTATTCAAACATTTCAAACCAATGGAACGATACGAAAAAAAATGTTTCTCGCTTTCATTCTTCGCGAATAGTTTAGAGAAGATTTGTTCCCGATTCGCTCTCTGTCAGAAAGTTTCTGGGAGTTTAGTTTCTAAATGTTTTTACGAGAGAAAGTTCCTCAGAGACTTTTGTTCCAATTTTGTTCTCCTAGAAATGTTCCCGAAAGTATTGTTCGCATTTTGTTCTCTTTAGGAACGTTCCACATGGTTATGTTCTTATATAACTACCGTTGAGAACATTCTCGACAATTCTGTTCTCACTGTCGTTCTTGTGAAAACACTCTTACGAAAAATATTCACTCGTTCTCACAATGTTGTCTCAACGGTGCTCCCTCCATATCTAAAGTGTTCTAGGGACGTCTGTGGGATGATTTAATTTCGATAGTTGAAATTTCAAAATTAATTGTATTAACTTTTTTTTAAAAAACACTCCATCACACAGTTTCCACTAACCAAAACGTAAATGTTTTAAATAGGCAAACTCATTTCCAACGATCAACTCTACTTGTTAAACATTTAAACATGCCCAGCATGTGTACGTAAGCTCCAAATATGTTGCTGATATTTTCTAACGACTTACAAGTGACAGCAAAAAAAGGAAAAAAAAAACCAGCAATAATACATACACTGGCATGCGACAGACGCACAATATTTTCGCCGCACATAGCCGCAAAAGGCAACAGCAGATTCAACCAATCAACTAGAGCACTTGACAGGCCATTATTGTGGCAAGATCATTCGTTGCGCTTTCTCGATAGACACAAAGCGGGCGTGATGATGTCTTTTTTAAGTATCCATGTGCCTTTGGACATAACATAAATTCGCTTAGCCATAAAAGGTAAACTATTTTCGCTGCCGTTGATGGTGTTGTTGTGTTGCTGCCTGCTGGTCGAGATGTGTACAACAATTGGCATTGCTAAGCGCAATTTTTATTTCACTTTTTCTACAGATTTATTTTTCTACGATTTACCAAGCTTTTGCACAATCACTTACCTGAAAGAAGAGTACAAAGCAGACCCATTGGTAGTACGTGTAATATTTCTTGGCATCCTCATCGTTGAAATCGTTGGCAACACCGGGATGTGCTACTTCACGGCCGACCTGTTGGCGAGGCGAAAAAGAATTTAAACAATTTTTGTTAATCACAGTGGCTGTATAAAGAGTTGCTTAGAAACTATGAATACGAGTAATTTTTAACAAAAAAAAAACCGACTTCAATGCTCATATAAAAACTTAGGAACTAATCATAATCGGAACTAAACGAAATTAGTATGAAACCAACTTTCCAAAAAAAGAGAATTGCCGAAAAAAAATTCGACGAATTGATAACCTGCTGCTTTTTTTGAAGTCGGTTGAAAAGAGGTTAAATGTGCTTGAAGTTGCGTAAATTGTAGGGCTTTGTTGCTTGTGTGTTTGAATGGAATTGACTGTGTGTCGCAATACGTAATTACTAGTTTGCTAGCTCCCTTGCACTGAGCCACATGCATACATACAGATATATGTACATTAGGCTGCATCACCAAAAAAATTGCGGGTTTTTACTGGAATTATAAAATCTATTTAAGACAGGAGCGAGACCGATTTGAAAATATATACACTCACGCGCAAAAAGTATTGGCACAGAGAATTTTGCACAAAATATTCAAATTTTTTTTCTTTTTTCGCTAATTTTTATAAAATTATGGTTCATACTTCAACAAAAAACTTTAAAAAATCTAATTTCTAAACTTCGTGTAACATTCAGGAAAATTCAATTCATATGCTGCATGCACTTTCAACTTTTTAATCAAATTTTTTAGATTTTTTGAGTATGCAGTTTGGTGGCCAATTAAATTTTAATTTAAAGAAATGCAGGTTTGAAGTTGCTAAAAAATCGCGTTGATTATGAGATTTTTTTTCCGTAAAAATGCGTGAAAAAATTGCCAAAAACAAACAGTAAGTCCTAGCTACTTCAAACTTGCACTTTATTATACTACAATTTAAAGGGCTACACAACTGCATACTCAAGAAAAATCTAAAAACTGTGATTAAAAAGTATCATTATTAAATTTCCTGGGTTTTGCACAAAGTTAAGAAATTATTTTTATATTTTCTTTTGTTGTAGTATTTATGAACCATATTTTTATAAAAAAATTAGCAAAAAATCTTAACATAAAAATTGTTGCATATTTTGTGAAAAATTATCTATGCCAATACTTTTTAAGTGAGCGTACCTCCAAAAATATCATTATTTCGATTCCGTTGATACAATTTTTAAACATTTTTATGCAGACCTTTTAAGCTTAAACTCTTCTATTACCTGATGTATTTTTTTGGGAAAAACCTTTTTAAAAACTATATTTTTTTTAAATTTAAATGTTTAAGATATTTTCATATGAGTCCAGCTCACGTATGTACATCGTAAATTGTTTCCAAAATATTTTGGCAGAAATCTTAAAATATAATAAATTTTTTAATTCTGATAGTTCTTTATGGAAAGTTGTACACTCTAATGTAAATATGTAGATGTATTTATGTACAAATTGTGCTATTCCCGTTTTGTTTTCTAAATAGTATAAGGTCGCAATCAGTTACGCATGCGTGGATCGTCTTTAATTGGGGCACACGCATTTTTTTGTGGCGTGGCTCGCGTGCACCCTTCATTCACTATGTACTGCTTTATTTAATTTTTTTTAAGGCGAGGTTACTTTTCAGTAAAAAAGAATAAAATTAAGGTCTAGAAAAAATAAAAAAGTAGAAATAAGACAAAAGAAAGGAAACTAAATGTTCACCGACACTACCTGGCAGATCGTAAGTATTGTGGGCTGCCGAACCACAAAAGTGTATTTGGTGTACCTTTGAAATAATGCCGGCGTGATAAACCCTGCAAACCAAAGTTCCCGAAATCTTAAGGAAATCGTTAGGAGTATCTCATTTCTGTAACGATTTTTTTACGAATTTTCAAAGAAAATTATATGAAGGGGTTGACACGAACTCGTAAAGAAATTTCTGTACGAAAAATAAAGAAAATTCTGGAAAAATTCTGAAAGATATTCTTCACATAGCAGCATTATTTTCGTTGCTTCACAGATTTTCTTCCGAAATTTCGTAAAAGAATGGAAGTGTGCGTAATTTATTTCATTTTAGAAAATTCGGCAAAAAATCGAATTAAATCTTAACGAATTCTTTAAAATTTCTTTACAATGCAGAATACTCTGAAAAAATGGTTTGCAGGGAAAATATGTACTTCTACAAGTACTTATTTTGGTAAATTAAAAAAAAATATATATACATATGAAATTAAGCACTTACCGCTGTCTAGTGCGCAAATTCAAGTGAAATTCAAATCTTAACAAGTGCGCGTTTCCCATTTACGTATGTAAATATGTATGCACACTAGGGTGGTAAAAAAGGGAGTTTAAAATGTTAACCTCTCACCCCTTAAGGACTATTTTATGTGAAGAAAAAACACTTTAACGAAAGCAATTAAAGTGAAATATGATTTTAATTTTTTGAATTTTATATGGAAATTGGCAGAAACAAAAAACATCATTTTCCATTACATCATTTTTCATTAGTATAACAAAATGGTTAAGTAAACAGTTGGCTATTATTATTGGAAGTCTCCCCAATTGGAAGTCTTCCTCATATAAAAAACATAGAAAACTGCATGTGCTTTAAGGTAGTGCTAAATATATATTTTTTTTTTACAAAAAAATTTGGGTATTCTTTTTTCCATTTAAAAATCCCAGGGGGCGAGGGCTTAAGCTTTTATACTTTTTCCCCGCATGTATTTTTGGAAAGCCCTAATGTACACACGCTTGTATCATACATAAATACATATGTATGTACCTGCTATTTAAGACGCATGCGCACACAGCTGAAAGGTGTCCAATTTCCTATTCTGCGAAGTACTTGTAGTAGTACCCACATCGCGCTTATAAATACAGCCCACCATTCTTGCGGCAGCCTGATGGTTTTGCGTTTCCTCTTGCCGTCATTGAATTTACGTAAATGCAAAGTTGAGGGAAAGAGTATGTAAAGGGTGGGCCATATAGTTTTTTCTTTTTTGCGGTATATGCTGAAAGCAAAGATCGACTATATCCGTTCCATCGATTTTTGGCCACCAAGAATCGTTTATCATGTCATGCTAACCGTTGCCTGAAATGGCGTTCCCAGCAGTATTCAAAAAAAAATGGGCCAATGATCTCACAGCTCCAAAACCCGCACCAAAATGTTACTCACTGAGGATGTGCATTGGCTTTTTGATGAACACATGTGGGTTTTCCAATCCCCAGATGCTGAGCTTTGCTTGTAAACATAGCCGCTGAGATGAAACGCCGCTTCTTCGGAAAATATATTTTTTACAACATTTTACACCACATTAACTTTGGTAATAAGTTTGTATTACTTTCCAATATGGACCACCCTGTATATATCTACGTATATTTACAATTTATTAATTTTTTGTTTGCAATTTCCTTTGATTTGCTTTAACAACATGAATAAAGAGCTTTATTGCAAAACGAATCACTGCGCATGCGCAGAAGCTACCCGCTAGCATACAAAATATGGCGTGCTAAATTTATATTAATGCTCTTAAGCCGACGCGAATACACCTTTCTTTCCGTCTTTTCCTATATACATACATACATACTTCTACCAGACATCTGCAGCGGGTGCATGATTTTCGTGTATACTCGATCATCTAACCAAACCCGTTTTGCATCGTTCTCTGTATACGAGCAGAAGTATTGTTCGTTATCGACTGAGCTCAAGACGAACATGTTGGCCACAACACCCGATTGCTTTTCATACATACTTGATTGGGTTCGGGTGCTTTGCAGCTCAATATACCCGGGTGTTCGAGTTTCAACCCGAGTGTGCACAAAATTTTCTTGATTGGCTTATGACGTTTTTGTTTCTACAAAAAATGTTGCCTTCTCATCGCGGTG